TTTAAACTTTTTTTTTTTTTTTTTTTTTTTTTTTGGCAGATCCCTCCTTATTCGTCTTTTTGTTTAGTCTGTATATGTGATCAGATTTAAGCACAACTTCTTTCTCCCTCTCTCTTTGTCTCTGTAGATCCAGGGTGCTATAATAGTCTCGTCTCTAATAGAGGTGATCATAGGGGCCTTGGGTTTGCCAGGTATCCTGTTGAAGTACATCGGCCCGCTCACCATTACCCCTACTGTCACTCTCATTGGGCTCTCGGGCTTCCAGGCGGCTGGAGAGAGGGCAGGCAAACACTGGGGCATCGCCATGCTGTGAGTACAGTTCTCACACACACACACACACACACACACACACACACGTTTGTGTATATAACCGATCTGTAGCTCTGTGGAGCCAAAATGTAAACTCTCTCCCCTCTTTTAAACAGAACCATATTCCTGGTTCTGCTGTTCTCTCAGTATGCACGTAACATCCAGTTGCCGCTCCCCATCTACAAATCCAAGAAAGGTTGGACGTCTTACCGCCTGCAGCTGTTCAAGATGTTCCCAGTGAGTTTCCAAATTAATCCAAGACAAACTCGTCTGTTCATTTCATTCAGGAATTTAGGGAAAATACCTAAAATGTATATAATAAGCGAGTACATCATGAATCCATTTTCCAAATCGTGTTTTTGGCTTATCATGAATCACTACGGTATACCTATGATAAGTATTTATATTCTGACTATTTTAGACTGCGGAGTAGCCCAGTACCTGCGTTCCAATACCAGTGTTCTTCCGCAAGATGCGTGCAGTTCTGTTTATTGACCTCCAAAGTGGCAAAAGTTACGGACTGCATCTTTAAGTATAGTAAATGTAGTATAAATATAGTATATAGGCATATATGCTGTTCCATTCAAACATATATTTACTTTTTTACTTGCTAACTTATGTTGTTGTTGCCAAACTTAAAAAAATAAATAAATAAAACACACTAGTTGCATAGGAGACGAAATAAGACTATTTATTGATTATTTTATTTTATTATTTTTGTGTTTCTCAGTGCCATTCCATTAAAAATATTTAATTATTTACTTTTTTGCTTACTTGCTTATTTTGTTGCCATTGTTGTGATAAAAAACATTAATAAAAAACAGAACCTCATAGCAGCTAAAATCAGAATATGATCATTTCTGGTTTTGTTTTTTGTTTTTTACATTCAAGTGATAATCTGTGATTAATTTCAAATTGCAAATGTTGCTTTTTAAATCTATCAGCAGGTAAAGTTGTTGGACATGTGTTGTTCCGTATCTCAATAATCAGTGTGTTGCGTTTTTCATTTCCAAAATGATCCACATTCTCATAAAGGAGTTATCATGATCATTAGCAGTCTGGTGTCTCTAGCTCCCAGCAGCGTGAGCTTGCATTTTCAGAGTCTTGGCACAGCTCGTAATCTGCCGTTAGCTCTGATGGCAGCCGTAATTATCATGCTGTTTCAGAGATGAGGTCTTTTTGGCCTGTGTTTTTAAATGGAAGCACAGCAGACAATGACATGGCAATGAAAGTGAGTGTGGGAGGCAGATAGAGGCAAGCCAAAATACACAGATTGATCCTTGATGATGAATCGTGAGGGAGTTTCAGCTTGCAGTGTTGTCTGCTTGTTTGAAGGCTAGTGAGGGAGGTTGGATAACATGTCTGGCTTTGTGTTCAGCAGTCTGGCTTACTCATCAGAATTTAGCATGAGAAGAGTTTCTTTTAAGTAACTGGGTTTATCTCTCTTTCTGTCTCTCTGTAGATCATCATGGCGATCCTTGTGTCATGGTTTCTGTGTTTTATCTTCACGGTGACTGACGTGTTTCCTCCTGAGAAGGACAAATATGGGTTCTACGCCCGAACAGACGCCCGACAGGGCATCCTGGCAGCCGCCCCCTGGTTTAAGATACCCTACCCCTGTGAGTGTTGGTTTTGAGTGTTACGTGTGTGTGTGTGTGTGTGTGTGTGTGTGTGTGTGTGTGTGTGTGTGTGTGTTTTGGTTTTTCCAAAGCTTGGTGAACTGCACATGTTTCTGTACCTCTTTAGGCCAACCTTTGTGAAAAACAAATACACTTTAGCATACTTTTACAGTACTTATTATGAATATAATATACCTTTAAGTGTGAACTGAATGTAATGTTTTAGGAGACGTATTTATTAATTGCAATTAAATGAAAAGTATTATAGTTTACATTTATATTAGATGTAATAAGCTTAACTTTAGACTGTTTTTGACGCACTGAAGTAGGGAGTATTTTTTTGATCCACCAAAGTATTCAATAAACCTTTATGGGGTAGGAATTTCTGTATGCTAAACCTGATAAGATTACCAATAATGCTTTGTTTTAGTCCAGTGGGGGTTGCCCACAGTGACAGCAGCAGGGGTGATTGGAATGATGAGTGCTGTGGTTGCCAGTATTATAGAGTCCATTGGAGACTATTACGCCTGTGCCCGTCTCTCCTGTGCCCCGCCTCCACCTGTACATGCTATTAACAGGTACAATACAAGGACACAATTGCACATATCAAAACTGATAAGACATCTATCACGTTTGGTATCCTGAGGCACTAATTGGAATCTCTTTTTCTCAGAGGGATCTTCACGGAGGGTCTTTCCTGTGTTCTCGATGGCATCTTTGGGACAGGAAATGGCTCCACATCTTCTAGCCCAAATATTGGAGTGCTGGGCATCACCAAAGTAGGATCTTTTCCTATTTGGCCTCTGTGATATTTGTGTAGTCGCTTACAATGAAGAAATGCCATATTGACTCATAAACTGGTTTTACAGTGCTTGGCTTCAAAGAGCTGGCTGTTAAAAGCACTCACAGAGAGCAGTGCATGTGGCACATACATTAGCAGCATGTGTTAGACTGGCCTTCAGTGACTGCAGTGGATCATTAGCACCCTAAAGACCTTCAATACTGAAGAGAGCAGCTCTTAAGTTTCCTGTGATCATCATTAAAATAAGCTCTGGCTGGCTATGTACTCCCAGAGGAACTATTTATTTATTACACATGCAACTGCTACTCATGAGGCTGCTACTTTGATTTTAATACTTTAAGTTTTACAGTTTACACGGGGGGGACCTAAATATCACAATTACATCAAAAGTTTGGGCTCAGTAAGATTTTTGCTTCTTTGTAAGACATTAATGCTTTTATTCTGCAAGGATGCATTCAATTTAATCAAAAGTGACAAAGACATTTATAATGTTAGAAAGTTCAAGAGAACAGCATTTCCTTGAAATAGAAATATTTTCTATTTATCAAAGAATCCTGAAAAAGTATCACTGTTTCCTCAAAAATATTAGGCAGCACAACTGTTGATACTAAGAAAGGTTTCTCGAGCTACAAATTAGAATGATTTCTGAAGGATCATGTGACACTAAAGACTGGAGTAATGATGCTGAAAATTCAGCTTTACCATCACAGGAATACATTACATTTTAAAATATATTACAATAAAAAAAGTTGTTTTAAATGATAATAATGTCACAATATTATTTTTTTTTTTTACTGTATTTTTGATCCAAAAATGCAGCCCTGCTGAGCATAAGATACTTCAAAAACTCACCAAACACTTTCAAATCAGTGTATATTTCAGTTTATCTCAGTTGTTACTGTATATTGCGGTGTAATTTAGTAGATCAGTCACAGTAAACTGCACAGAAAATCTTTGAGACCTGATTTTATTGAGAATCTTTAACCATGGCATAATCCATTGACATCCATTGCTTTTGATTCCTAATGATAATGCATAAAAAAGTACATGAAGAGAATCACAGCATTTAATAAACGGCACTGATGCAGTAGCGTTCTCTGATTGGTCGGTTTCTTCTCTCTGTGTAGGTGGGCAGCAGGCGGGTAATTCAGTATGGGGCAGCACTGATGCTACTTCTAGGAATGGTGGGTAAATTCAGCGCTCTCTTCGCATCATTGCCGGACCCAGTTCTGGGGGCGCTGTTCTGCACTCTCTTCGGCATGATCACTGCTGTTGGCCTTTCCAACCTGCAATTTGTGGATCTCAACTCGTCCCGCAATCTGTTTGTCCTTGGCTTCTCCATCTTCTTTGGCCTGGTCCTACCCAGCTACCTCAAAGGAAACCCTCTAGTCACTGGTAGATACACAAACACGTGTTTATAAACTCACCACATGGGGAATGATGATTGCTTCTTGAGGGACCAGTGTGGAACCATATTCTGTTCTTCTTTTGTAGGTATAGTGCAGATAGATCAGGTGCTGAACGTTCTGCTTACGACTGCCATGTTTGTAGGAGGTTCAGTGGCGTTTGTGCTGGATAATACTATTCCTGGTAGGTGCAAATCTCATAATGCACTCATGCAACTCTCTTCAATCCAATTAAACCTTTGGTGAAAGTTCATGCGTCACATTTCTAATTTTTTAATTAACAAAATGGTGGTAAATGTAGTAATAACCTAGGAATGACACAGGCATTTTTTTTTCAGGCAGTTTTCAATCACCATTTTATGTTGACATTATAACATTAAGAATCTATAGCACTATATAAATTATAGGGCTGCACAATTTGGCAAAAAAATGATTATATATTAATATGACTATACTACTAATACTACTAATTAAATTTGAAGTAAAACGTTGTTGGCGGAAAACCGCAGGAAGCTCTTAAAACTTCTGTTGACTACCGCTGGTTTATTAGTGCTTCTCATTTCAAGTGTGGGAAGATGGATGGCATGTGCTGCGTTTTCAAATGTGTGTTACAAGCGACCTAAGCAGATGCAGAGATCGCATTTCTTGTGAACTAAGCCTCTCCGAGAAACTGAAAACCCCAGCTCATAAGCTGCTCATGTGTAAATCAACACAGTGCTGCGCTATGCTGCATATAATTTAATTAAATCAAAGCCTTTGCGATTTGATAATCACACTAAGCCATATCGCAGTTTCAGTTTTATTTTCAATTAATTGTGCAACTCTAATTGAAAATATTTATAAAACATTATAAACTTTCGTTGATCATGTTTTACTTCATTGTTAGTGCATTCCCTGCTTTCCTCTCATTAACTCTTTCTATTCTATTCCAGGCACCCCGGAGGAAAGGGGCATCTGTAAGATGAATCGTGGAAACGGCGTATCTAAACGGGACAGAATGGAGTCTTACGACCTTCCATTTGGTATGGACTTCCTGCGGCGCCATCGCATTTTCCAGTACCTCCCAATCAGCCCCACTTTCGCTGGCTACCAATGGAGCGTCCTCACCCACGGCTGCCATAACAGAAGAGAGGACGACATGCCAACAAAGCCAGAACTGGGAGAAAGTGGGGTATAGTTTAGCACCAGTATGCTTTCCATTCCACCCAGACAGTGAAATCCACAGTCCGGTCCCTTAACAAAAAGCCAGCTATAAACTCTTTTCATCCTACAATCCTTTAAAAACTCTGTATCCTTTTTGATCGAGTTTGTCATCAACACTAAAGTTGGTTCCTAGCTGTTAATACAGCCTCTTAAAACTTTGACAGCGCAGCATCTGAAGGTGTCTCCATGACAACAGCGAGTGGATGCAATGCAGGTTGTACTCGTTCATCTCTCTCTGTGTGGGAGAACGTGAAAACAGAGACTGACAGATGGAAAAATCACTTTCCGAATTTCCAACATCAGTGTTCCTTTTTTTGGCCTGCATTGCTCCGTCTGCATCCGTGTGTAGATAATTGGATGTGTTTGAATTTAAATGACGTACTAATGATGTGTGCCACTATCACACATATTCACAATAAACACAAACACGCTCAATCTCACTTTATGCATGGCGCAGTTCCGGATCCCGTCAAAGCGAGAGGATCGTTAAAGGTTTACTTAGTGATGCAAGGTTATTGTGCTTTACGTTTGAATTGCACTGCTTGAGTTAACGCACACAATGTAGTTTGCTTGTTCCTAATTTAACTTCCGGTGTCCGAGTCTTGCTTCCAAATCCGTAAGTACTTAAATTGAAATGAAAAACTGAAGTCCCAATGCCTTCAATTTAAGGAAAATAATTCAGTCATACAAATTAATGTTTTAGTCATCTCGTTTATGTCGTTAGTTAGCTGCTATTCTGATTAATAGCTCATATCGAAAGAAGCGTTTCTTATTAAATGACACCTTGAAATTGTAGCGGAAAACCATATTTAAATTTGTTTGATGATCTGAAACATTAAAGTGTGACAAACATGCAAAAAAATAAGAAAACGCTTTTTCACACCACAATCAGTGCATGGTTTGCAAAAGAAGGAAGACTGGAAGGGAAAAACTTGAGAATGGTTGCACTCAGGCAGCCCCATCGAAAGACCATGGGGATGGCGTTTTTCTTTTGGTCCGAATCTATTGAGGCGCCACATTTTTGGTATGTCTTCTGTGATATAGGTGGCACTTCCTCACTGCTGTTCAAGTGAATGTGGTGTATGATGTAGATTCCCACAAGCACTGCAGATGTGGTTTGTTTTTGGACAAAGAGAGGAGGGGCGGCATTTAGTGGGCATTTATTGACAGGCTCTCCAACTGTACAAATCCTATTATACTGCATTATCACAATCAATTACTAATCATTAGTATTTAATTGGAACTATTAGTTCTCATTTTTGGTTTACAGACATTCTATAATCTTTACAGTAACAACATGTACAACACAAAGCATTTTTAAATGTACACTATCCGTTTGTGGTGCAGCATTGAAACCAATTTCTGACCATGTCATGGAATGGAGACTTCATTTGCCTTCCTGATTTAATAGTGTGCAGTTGTGCTTTCACCTCTGTGATAATCTCACTTAGAGCTCCATCTGATGGTTGTATCTTTATTTGAAGCTCATACTGTATCCACGTCAGATTCCGAGTTTCTTTTGTTGACTTGTAATTTATTTATTTATATGTACTACATCTACTATCTTTGTGCAAATCCTTTGCTGCCTGTAAGCAGGAAATGGGAGGTGCAGTTCTGCACTCTAAGGTTTGATTTGATATACTGTCAGCATGGTGCAAAGAGAAATTGCAGTTTTATGTTACCACAGTCTTGATATTTACTGGTGCTCCCTCTGCGAGTCATTCCAACTAACATGTCTGAGGTGTTTCTCTCTCTCTCTTTCTCTCTTTCTAGCTGACCTGTAATACAGCCTGATGTTGGTTTCTTTGACTTGTTTTGTATTTGTTTTTAACAGAAAACCCTAATTATGCAAGGACCATTTCATTTGGTAACACAATGTTACAACTGTTACTTTGTTTTCAGCCTTATGTACACATTTTTCAAAACGTTCTGTGCATTATAGCAGGAAAGAACACATCGCTGATGTGTTTGAGAATGTTGAGGTGACAGTATTTGGGACCTAAAAGCCAGATCTGAGTGCTGTATGTATACAAGGCAATACTAATTTACTTGAACACTTAGAACAGAGTGCTGCGGTAATTGAGTAGAATAAGATCTACAGTTCAAAACTTATGTTGCAAAGAATCCATTACTATAGCACTTTTTGTTCCTAAAATAATTGTGTTATAAAACATTCAGCACTCTGAAGTGTGGTATAATGATTGTCTGTGAATCCAAAGTAAATGCATCTGAGAAAGTGTGAAGTTTGCCTCTAAATCCCATCCCATTCACACCGATAGTGCTTGCAGTGGAGTCCGTCCTCATCTCCTAAACGTTTATCCTTAAATAGTTTATTGAAATGTTATTTGAAACAGAATATGACATCTTATGAAGACCTTTCACATCCTGTGGTGTTTATTTGTCTTGTCAGTCATTTCAGTTGTTTATATGGCAGTGACATGAATAAATATTTGTCAAAATATATAGCAAATGGTGATTTCAAAAGGATTTTTAACGTGTCTTTGGTCATTAACACTTAAACATTTATTGATGCTAAATATGGTTTTTAATATGAGAACATTTTGGAAACACACTGTTGTGCTAAATCTCAGTATCCGCTGAGATTTAAAGGTTGTGATGGGAACATGGTGGCATGAAAGAAAAACAACCCTTCAGTTATTTTGAAGAGGGTATATCTGAAGAATATACTTGGTGTCTCTGAATTGTAATATGTTTTTAATGTTTTATTGTTTTTTTGTACGTCATTTTGTGTTTTTACTGACAAAAAAAGATGTTGGAAAAAATGCTTATCTTAAATCATCATGCTGCAAAGCGCACCAATTTGTTACATTTTTATTTGAGTGAAACAAATTCAATTTTTTTTATCTGTAGTTTGATTGAATATATTTGTTAACTTGGATGTTTTCATATTGTATTTTTCTAACATTACTTCCTGTTCATGTTAAAATTAGTACAAATTTAGAAAGTGCAATGCATTGAGACTATTATAAATATATGAATATATATATTGAGTGCAGAATGTGCTATATTCTTGGACCAGCCATTGCAGCTCCTGTTAGTAGAAACGGCAGAAATTGTTTTATTCCATGTTCCTAAAGACATTTAATAAGATGTTTCTGAGCAAATCATAATGTCTTTTGTCTCTTTCTGCATCAAGGTTCCTTGCAACAAAATAGTATTATTACTTATTATTTTATTTTATTATTACTTATGAAGTATTATTATTATTATTAAACATTTTATAAATAATAATTATAATGATGATCGTTCAGACAAATCAATTTACATCAAGTTGTCCATTCCTGCATTCTTGACTGTTTTCAGAATCAGACAGTTAGGTGTATGAGGAAAAAAAACTTTCACGTTTCAAATGAATGGCAGGCATGAAAGGCTTTTTTTTCAGAATTATGGTCTAGTTGCTATGTTAAATGACATTAAAATGTTGGACTCTTTTCTGTCTGCTCTGGCAAACTCATTAGATATATCAGGTTACACATGCCAGTTCTTCACCTCGGATTTCTCCCATCGTTTGTGTGTGTGTGTGTGTGTGTGTGTG